TTGTGCCTTGTTTAACACAATGATTTTAATGTTCATCTCTTTTTATAGAAAGAATTGCTTTACTCGGCATTTTCCATGTGAAATACTGTGAATTGAATTACCATGACAGAGTATTGGATATTTAGTGTGTTTGTGTATGTGTGTGTCTTTGTATATATATATGCTTAGAATTTCTTTAGCACTTAAATATTTTCTCATTTGTTCCAACGACATGAGTTAATTTCCTGATCTAATTTCATTGCACTTAGTAGGAGAAAGAGCACCTCAGTGCTCGGTGACAATGTAAGCAGATGGTTAATTACTGTTATTTACACACTGTCCAAATTACCTTGCCACAAGGGGAGGAGGAGACCTACATTTTATGAATAAGATTAAAACAGTATCAAATTAAAAATTTTATTTTATTATAGTGTCTGTTTCAGAAGTGATTCAGAGGTCTGTTTGTTGCTGAGTAAAATGTGCAGCTATTTTTACCACTTCCTGTTGTAGAGTCCCAGATACCTCAGTTTACATAAGAATTGTCATTTTATGTCACGTCAATAGTCAGAAGGCTTTTTCATTTTTCTTTAGCAGACGAGAGCTCTAGGCATTGAAAGGTGTGGGTTTGCTGTCATCTTTGACCAGGATTTATCATGGACAATGGTAAAATAAACATGCCCTCGCCTCTCCAAAGCAGTTATTGAGAATTCGCTGTTATGATTTGGTGGGAGTGTACTTAAAGTACAGATGAGCCTGATCTGAATGTACTTTGATCTGGATTCATGAAGGATCCATAGCTCTATAATGAGCCAAACCAAACTGTAGAGCCCAACTTCTCAGAAACTTTGGTCCGCTTCCAAGCCACAATAGGATCCAAGCTTTACAGCTGGGACCCTGTTTAGTATCAAGGCTTTTGCCCAACCCTTTGCTGTGCCCTGAATGTGATGTCCTGAGGAAGTAAATCCAGGCACACTCAGTACAGAGTGAATATATGCCTACCATTTTTGGAATCTGAACAAAATAAATATACAGATAATGATAAAAGACTGACCAAACCCAAATGGATCTTTTAAAGGTAACAAGTACAGGTTATAAATAAAACTTGCATGGAAAGTGCATATATGTTAATGATGATAAAATAACCATTAATTTCTTTTTAACTTGGTATTAGTTGTAAGCTGTCCCATTTAGAAAAAAACATGCTTTCTACTGAGTTTCTTAGTAGTTCTGTCTTGTTTCACTATACACACATTTTAAGAGAGTAAAATATGGCCAGCACAAAGTATGATACACTATTAAATCATTTTTGCCTACAAGCCGAGTGATTCTTCAGGCTGAGAGATATCATCCTGCTATGTTTGAGCATTAGAAATGACATAGTAAAAAGCGTAGCATGCAATTTCTTGCTCATTAATATAAATTATATACTGTAAATGTTTTCTAAGATTCAAAATATAGCCATCTCAATTGTAAATGATGTCTTGGATGGGAATCCTTTTTTTTTATTAAAGGCATGAAAAGTCAATTTATTAGACTCATGAAAGGTGAAAATGATTTTGGAAAATACTTTCCATTTATTGAAATGGAATTTGAATAAATGTAATAAAATTGCATTCCAAATTGAGATTTATGTACATAAAAACCACAATAAATCCTCTGTGATTTATTAGATTTTTCTTAAGAGTTCACAATTCAGTGCAAGGAATTTTGCAGGTATATTTACTTAACTTCATTAAGGTGAACAATCATAACTGCAATGCTTTCTTAGTAAACCAGATAAGGTAGCAGAGTAACCAACATTGTGGTGAGTATATGGAAACTGTTCCAACTCTGTGAATGAAAACCACTATATAAGAGCTAGGTTTTCCATTCCTGACTTCTAGATGTTCTGAAAAATCAATTTGAGTGATATGATATAACTGTCAACTATGTAAGTGTAGAACTCTTTTGTTGAATGAATTAGTTTTTGTTGTGTGAAGCAGATATCAAAGCCCTCTATAGAAAATCAACCCTCTCCCACTGTAAAATAAGCCTCACAAATAAGGATTGTGCTTTCGGTGAATATAATAATGTGTAATAAGATGAAATGACAAAAATCTAGATTTTTGCAAATCTTCCTAGTAGTGACTAGAGATGGGACAAGTGTTTGGATCTGGATCAAAATTAGGTTTACACCACAGTCAATCTGGGAAACGCTTGGTGTTTGCACCAAATTAGGGTTATGATTAGAGCCCTACCAAATTCACGGTCCATTTTGGTCAATTTCATGGCCATAGGATTTTAAAAATAATAAATTTCACGATTTTAGATATTTAAATCTGAAATTTCACGGTGTTATAACTATTGGGGTCCTGACCCAAAGGGAGCTGTGTGTGGGGGGGGCATTTCAAGGTTATTGTTGGGGGGTCTCAGTATTGCTACCCTTACTTCTGTGCCACTGTCATGTGAGTTGTTACGACATGTCAACACACGATGGCAAGAATCTTGCATGATCAATTGATTTCAGGAGATTTTCACTTTATGGGCCAAAATCTGACAAGAACTGGGTTTCAATGAACTAAAATCCACAAAAAAATGTCTGACCCAGAACCCAAACCACAGGATTGGGTTCAGATTTAAGGATACAGGCCTCAACCACTCTGAAATTTGGTCCTCCCTTACAGTGGCATCTATAAAACTGTGAAAAAGATTCCTAAAGAGTGGCCATACAGACCTGGGCTTGACAAAGCACTTGAGAATATACCAAAGGGAACAGCCCTGCAATGAGGACAGACTAGTTCACTTCTGGGGCCTGAAAGTCCAATTTTATTACCAATGTAATGGTGACAATTAAAAACCAGTGTACTGAGGTGTAACAATTATGTAATTAGACATGATCTTTTCATTAGATGTCACTAGGTATTGTGCTTAACTGGCTCGTGTTTACGTATGTACCATTGTTCTCTTCTGGATAGGATCAGGGCTGGTAAAGTGTGCATCTCAGATGCTACACTGCTGAAAGCTAACAGACTCCATTTAGCTCCAGTGGTGGGGACCTGTGCATTTCATACAGCAGTATCTGGTTCTGTCCCTATTGTCTAAGTGACCATACTGTGTGGTGTAAGTGACAACCACAAAATCCTGTGTGGCTGCATTTGTTACAATATCTCAAATAATGAGGAGTTATTAGCCTAGAAATACAGTAGATCCTTAGAGTAAAGCTCCTATAGAATGCAAGGTCAAATTCTTAAAAACCTACTGTCTTCTATTAGGTAAATCACTATTCTCTTTATGTATGTTTAGCTTATCCTGGACCCCCTAAAGAACATTATATCAGGGTGTATTGAACTTCAACTACTTCATATCCTCAGCTGGAGAGATGATTGGTTAAATATTGACTGAATGGTAGTTTCTGAAACCATTCAGTACTTTTAAAATGCAGAACATGTAGGATTAGAAATATAGAATGTGTCCCATAAACACATATCTTAAGTATAATTTCCTTAACAAGCTGCCCTGGTTCCACTAGGTTCTGACTAGTTCTTGTCAGATTACTAGGTGTAATTACACCATGGCGAATAAGGACAACTCATGGAATTATAGACCAGTCAGCTTAACTTCAGTACCCAAGAAAGTAACGGAGCAAATAATTAAACAATCAATTTGTAAGCACCTGCAAGATAATAAAGTGACAAGTAACAATTAACATGGATTTGTCAAGGACAAATCATGTCAAACCAACCTAATATCCTTCTTTGACAGAGTAACGAGCCTTGTGGATGGGAGAATGCAGTAGATATGATCTGTTTCTACTTTAGTAAGGCTTTTAATACTGTCTCACATGACCTTCTCATAAACAAACTAGAGAAATATAGCCTAGATGAACCTACTAGAAGGTGGGTGTACAACTGGTTGGAAAAGAGTACTCAGGGTAATTATCAATTGTGTCACAATCAAGCTGGAAGGGCATTTTGAGTAGGGCCCTGCAGGGATCAGTGCTGGGTCCAATTCTATTCACTATCTTCATAAATAGTTTGGATAATAGCACAGAGAGTACATGTTAATGTTAGAGGACAATACTGAGCTGCTAGGGGCTACGAGTGCTCTGGAGGACAGGCTTAGAATTCAAAATGATCGTGGCGAACTGGAGAAATGGTCTGAAATAAATAGGATGAAACTGAATCAGGGCAAATGCCAAGTACTACACTTAGGAAGAAATATTCAATTACACAAATACAAAATGGGAAATGACTACTGCAGAAAAGGATCTGGGGGTTATAGTGGATCACAAGCTAAATATAAGTCAACAATGTAACACTTGCAAAACAAACAAACAAACATCATACTGGATGTATTAGCAGGAGTGTTGTACACAAGGCATGAGAAGTTCTACTCAGCACTAATAAGGCCTCAGCCGTAGTATTGTGTACAATTCTGGGCACACTCTGTGGGAACAATGTGGGGGGAAAATGGAGAAAGTCCAGACGAGCTCAATAAAAAAGATTAAAAGTCTAGAAAACATGACCTACAAGGAAAGATTTTAAAAAATGAGTTTGTTTCGTCTGGAGAAGAAAAGACTGACAGGGGATAAAACAGTCTTCAAATATGAAAAAGATTGTTATAAGAGGAGGGTGATAAATTGTTCTCCTGGACCACCGAAGACAGGACAAGAAGCAATGGGCTTAAATTGCAGCAAGGAAGGTTTAGATTTAGACATCAGGAAAAACTTCCTAACTGTCCAGGTAGTTAAGCAGTGGAGCATATTACCTAGGGAGGTTGTGGAATCTCCATCATTGGAGGATTTTAAGAACAGGTTATACAAACACCTGTCAGGGATGGTCTGGACAATACTTAGCCCTGGTCTACACTACGAGTTTAGGTCGAATTTAGCAGCATTAGATCGATTTAACCCTGCTGTTTGAAACCATTCCTACATGTTATGAAGGTGCTATGTAATGTTAACAGCTTAGTAAAAGAGTCTACCCATTGTTCTCTAAAATGTGTCTTTTTAAATACCACTCTCCCTTTTTTTCTTTCCGCAGCTGCAAATGTCTCAATGCTCCCCCTATCATCTCCGTCCCAGAGGCTAGTGCAGATAAGAAGGTGAAAAAAACCGTACTTGTGATGAAATGTTCTCATGCAGTCCTCCCACACTGAAACAGCCCAGCAGAATGTGTGGAGACAAACAATGGCAGAGTCCAGGAAAGCAGAAAATGAACGCGAGGACAGGAGGGATGAGCAAGAGGAGAGGTGGTGGCAGCGTGATGAGAGGAGGCAGGATGTAATGCTGAGGCTACTGGAGGATCAAACTAATATGTTCTGGTGTCTGGTGGAGCTGCAGGAAAGGCAGCAGAAGCACGGACAACCGCTGCAGCCACTGTGTAACCGCCTGCCCTCCTCCCCAAGTTCCATAGTCTCCTCAACCAGATGCCCAAGAACGCGGGGGGGAGGGGCTCTCTGGGCACGCAACCACTCCACCCCAGAGGACTGCCCAAGCAACAGAAAGCTGGCATTCAATAAGTTTTGAAGTGCTGTGTGGCCTTGTCCTTCCCCCTTCCCCACATCCACCACCCCACCCAGTGCTTCCCTTTTCCCCCACCCCTCCCAGGCTACCTTGGCAGTTACCCCCTTATTTGTGTGATGAATTAATAAAGAATGCATGATTTTGAAAAAACAATGACTTTATTGCCTCTGCAAGCGGTGATTGCAGGTGGGCGGGGGGTCGCTTGGCTTACAGGGAAGTCGAGTGAACCAAGGGGGCGGGTTTTCATCAAGGAGAAGCAAACAGAACTGTCACACTGTAGCCTGGCCAGTCAGGTTTTCAAAGCTTCTCTGATCCACAGCGCACCTTGCTGTGCTTTTCTAACCGCCCTGGTGTCTGGCTGCGCATATTCAGCAAGTGATTTGCCTCAACCTCTCACACCGCCATAAATGTCTCCCCCTTTCTCTCACAGATATTGTGGAGCACACAGCAAGCAGCAATAACAGTGGGAATATTGGTTTCACTGTGGTCTAACTGAGTCAGTAAACTGCACCAGCGCGCTTTTAAATGTCCAAATTCACACTGTACCACCATTCTGCACTTGCTCAGCCTATAATTGAACTGCTCCTTACTAGTGTCCAGGGTGCCTGTGTACGGCTTCATGAGCCAGGGCATTAAGGGGTAGGCTGGGTCCCCAAGGATAACTATAGGCATTTCAACATCCCCAACGGTTATTTTCTGGTCTGGAAAGTAAGTCCCTTCCTGCAGCTGTTCAAACAGACCAGAGTTCCTGAAGATGCGAGTGTCATGTACCTTTCCTGGCCATCCCACGTTGATGTCAGTGAAACGTCCCTTGTGATCCACCAGTACTTGCAGTGCTAAGTATTACTAGCTAAATCATACATGTGACTGTGGTACACAATGGTTTGCTCTCCTGTGGCCTGTAATACTTGATGTAGCTCTCGTTGTTCTGGTCCTGGTTTGGGTGTGGCTTGATGGTGGTTAGAGGCCTGTGATATACAGGAGGTCAGATAATCAGATGGTCCCTTCTGGCCTTAAGTTCAATAACTCTGTCTTGTTGTACATTCAGGAAATTGTATGTACAAATTAACAATAAAGATAATTATTATTACAGTAGTGCCTAAAGGTGCCAACTAAAATCAGAGCCCCATTGTCCTAGGCATTGTATAAACACATAGTAAGAAAGAGTCCCTTAAAATGCTTATAATCTAAATAGACAAGACAGGCAAAGGTAGGAGGGAGACCAAAGGCACAAAGTGAAGGGATTTGGTTTTATCTCAGGAATTGATACGGTTTCTTGTTAGCATCAGTGATTTTTATGCAGGCAAACCTCTAAAATTAAAATGAAAAAATAGGGCTACAAGTGAGTCAATCAAAGGTATCCTGCCACTGCACACAACAGTGTCCCTGAAGATACGCCCTTGGGGCTGTTGAGGGCAACGGGCAATGCATCATACTGACCGTGAGGTATTGATGGCAAATGGGCATAGATTACGTAAAATCCAGTGAGGGCCTGTGCTGCTATCTCCAGCGAGTGCAATCTGGCAACAGCAGCAGTGATCATATCGCTGCTACAGAAAGTAGCAGCAAAAAGCATCCTCTCACACAGTGAACCAACCCTTCGTCTGGCAATGTGCCCTGTAATTGCAGGATTTTTTGTTTACTGACTATAGCTCCCAACACTGGGTGCTTACACTTCACTGACTTTTGGATCAACTGCCAGAATTTGACCCATAATTATTAGTTCTCTGAAGCATTTTGATTTATTAGATTAGATTTAAAGAATTATAATCTGCTCTATTTACTTCCATTATCCATCACAGGAAACAGAATATTTACATATAGCTTCTTTTTAAAGAAAAGAGTTAAATTCCCTTCATCAACAGCTGAAAGGTGTGAACTGAGACATATTTAGCATTTCTTTTAAGTGAGAAAAGCTCCTCAGATCTGGAAAGCAGCTAAAGTAATTCAAAATCTGGAGCAGAGCTGGACAAACAATGAAAAACATTTTTCCGAAACATTCAGCCAATCCTACAGTGCAGTTTGATCAAGCACGTTTGAACTTTAGCTGCCATTCAAGCAAGCATGTGTTTTTTGTATTAAGGTTAATGGAAAATGACTATTTGAATCATTCCTGAAATTCATTTCATGACTAAACAAAACTTGTAGCCAGACTGTAAGTGGTTTACTGGCCATCTAAGAATTTCATTTTGGGGCTCAGCTAATCATGAAAATAATAGAGGATTTGCCACAGGGAAGAAAAGGGCATTAATTTTGTTAACCAAAAAGTCACCCTAGCCATTAAAAGTTGCCTGACTGTGTCCAAGGAATATAAAATTAAGCGTCTGGACTTTCCTAGATACCCAGTAAAAAAGGAAAAGCTCAAACCACTGGAAGGTGAACTAAAATTAGTTTACAAGCTCTGTAATGGCTTCTAATAGAGCGGCTTAGGTGCAATAACAATAACATAAATCTAAAATATAATTTGAAAAAACTCTCTGCCTCAGCAGGAGACTTTAGAGAGATTTGTCTTTTCTGAATTCATTCATTCAACCAGTCCTTCATTCTTTCCTATTATAAACTCTCTATTAAAAAAGGTGGCCATCCCATGTTTATCAATTTTGTAGGGTATTTTCTTCTAACAAACTAAGCTCCTTTCTGTAATTAATTTAAGTCTGTCTAATGCCCTTGTTTGCATGGCAGAAAAGCATTTTAATTAAGTACAGTTGCTTAATTATATATTTTCAAATCTCTAATTCTTTTCTGAGTATTAGACCTTGCCGTTGGAAGCATTATAATTACCCAGGTGTATCAAAAGCAACAGGGAGACGCCCTGCAGTTCTTGAAGCCAGCAACCTCTTCCCGCCCCCCGCCCCCCCACCACTGCCAAATTTTAGATCTTGCTAGCTAAGTAGCTTTTCAGTTGCATAATCAGGTTTCACTTCTTTTGGAGAGATCATAACTGATGTTCCAGTGCTCCTATTATTGTTTCATCTTAGGATCATTATTCTGTTGAGAAGTTTGTCATTACTTTAAAAGCACACTGTTAAGCCTGGTGGGACAATCTTTGATACAGTATGGGAAATGTATGCTTACATTACATAATTTTTTTTCACAGAGCACATGACTTGGCTCATTACAGGCAGGTTGTGAGAGCTTAGTCATAGTACATTTTCCCTACTCCAGTTGTATGCTTGGTTCATGTCAGTAATGTACTGAAATGTTCAAGAATCTCTCTACAATTCTGTAAAGTGAAACCCAGATGTTTCTCCTCTAGTGCTCTAGCTCTATTTCCAGTATGGCTAGGCAAACTCATTCTTCCTAATTACAAACCCAGTTAAGTATTATGGGTTCAGAAATTCAACCCTAGCTTGAAAGGTGTTAGGTTTGTGTATTATGCTTTAGGAGTGTGAAAACAGGTTGGGGGTAGATATAATGAAAGCAGGATATACAAAGTATACAGTCCACACCTCATCTCAGCCTACTTTGAGAGCTGTTCCTTTATCGTTAATATATACCTGGGCCTTGAGCCTCATCTGGAGTAAAGCAATGTCACTCTATTGACATCAGCCTTGAGTAAGTGGTGTTTATTATTTGCATTACAGTAGGAAACCAAAGTCCCATGTTTCTGTTGTTGTACATATACTTGGTAGTCAGGTAAAAGAAGCATTATTATCCCCATTTATTACAAATTCACTTGAGCAATTTAAGTAAAGAAAGCATGAGTAACTTGCCAAAGGTAATGCACAAAGTCTATAACAGAGCAGATACTTGATCCCAGTTCTCGTGAGTCACAGCCTAATGCCTTAATCACAAGACCACCTCTCCTTTTTGAGTTTACTGGAGCAACCTTGGTTTATACCAGCTGAAGCTCTACCCTTAAAACATGCTCTCAGGGTATGTCTACACTACAAAATTAGGTCAAATTTCTAGAAGTTGTTTTTTTAGAAATCGTTTTTATATAGTCGATTGTGTGTGTCCCCATACAAAATGCTCTAAGTGCATTAACTCGGCGGAGTGCTTCCACAGTACCGAGGCTAGTGTCGACTTCCGGAGTGTTGCACTGTGGGTAGCTATCCCACAGGTCCCACAGTCTCTGCCGCCCATTGGAATTCTGGGTTGAGATCCCAATGCCTGATGGAGCAAAAAACATTGTCGCGGGTGGTTCTGGGTACATGTCTTCAGGCCCTCCCTCCGTGAAAGCAACGGCAGATAATAGTTTCGTGCCTTTTTTCCTCAGTTACCTATGCAGACGCCATACCACGGCAAGCATGGAGCCCGCACAGCTCACTGTCACGTACGTCTCCTGGGTGCTGGCAGACGCAGTACTGCATTGCTACACAGCAGCAGCAACCCATTGCCTTGTGGCAGCAGACCGTGCAATAGGCCTGATAACCATCGTCATTGTGCCCGAGGTGCTCCTGGCCGCCTCCGTAAGGTCGGTCAGGAGCGCCTGGGCAGACATGGGCTCAGGAACTAAATTAGGAGTGACTCGACCAGGTCATTCTCTTTAGTCCTTCCAGCAGTCCTATTGCACCATCTTCTGCCTAGCAGCCAGGAGATATGGATGGCTAGCAGTCCTACTGCACCGTCTGCTGCCAGCCAAAGATGTAAAAGGTAGATGGAATGGATCAAAACAAAAAATAGACCAGATTTGTTTTGTATTCATTTGCTCCCCCCTCCCCCCCTCCATGAAATCAACAGCCGACAATCATTTCGGTGAGGTCTGTCAGGAGCACCTTGAAAAGTTTAATGGAGATTCAGTCCTGTCTGAAATACCGAGGAGAGGGATAGCTCAGTGGGTTGAGCATTGGGTTGAGCATTGGCCTGCTAAACCCAGGGTTTTGAGTTCATTTCTTAAGGGTCCATTCTGTGTGACAGTTGTTTTTGTTTCTCCTTGATGTAAAGCCACCCCCTTTGTTGATTTTAATTCCCTGTAAGCCAATCCTGTAAGCCATGTCGTCAGTCGCCCCTCCCTCTGTCAGAGCAACAGCAGACAATTGTTCCGCGCCTTTTTTCTGTGCAGCCACCATACCAAGGCAAGCATGGAGCCAACTCAGATCACTTTGGCAATTAGAGCACATTAAACACCACACGCATTATCCAGCAGTATATGCAGCAACAGAACCTGACAAAGCGAAACCA